CTTTCTTTGACGTTCCTTTTCTAACATACCTATAGAAGCCCTTTTTATTATTCTTTGTGCCCCTTGCCAAGTTCAGCTCCAGCCACACCTTGGCCTTGCTGACCCCATCCCTACACAACTGGGCAGCATCCCTATACTCTTCCCAGGATACCTGTCCGTGCTTCCACTGCCTGTGCATTTCCTTCTTGCGCTTTGGTTTGACCAGCAGGTCTTGACTCACTCATGCCAGTCTCTTGCCTTCCTTTCTTGATTTCTTACACCTGGGGATCGAGAGCTCTCACACTCTATGGAAAACGTCCTTGAAGATCCGCCCGCTCTGTTCTGCTCCCTTGTCCCTGAGAGCAGTTTTCCAGGGGGTCCTCCTGACTAACTCCTTGAACAGCTGGAAGATTGCCTTCCTAAAATTCAGGGTCCTGACTTTACTCTTCACCTGACCATATGCCTCAGGACTGCAACCTCCACCAGTGCATGATCACTACAGCCCAGGCTGCCTCCAATCTTGACATCACCCATTAGCTCACTTGGGCTGGTGACCAACAGGTCCAGTATCACATCCCCTCTGGTAGGGCTGTCTATAACCTGGCTTGAGAAGTTATCCTCAATGGACTTCAGGAGTCTCCTGGATTGCCTACAGCTCGCTGTGCTACTTTTCCAGCAGATGCCTGGGTGGTTTAACACCCCCAGCAGGACGAGCCGGTGAGTGCAATGTGTCCTGCAGCTCGAGTAAGAAGGCTTCATCAATAGGCTCCCCTTGATCAGGTGGCCTGTAGTAAACACCAACCACAAGGTTCCCCTCATTGCCTTGGTCTTTAATTCTTACCCATAAGCTTTCAACCTGCTCATGGCTATTTTCCAGAGACAGCTCTTCACAATCTATCCATTTCTTGACATAGAGGACAACCCTTCCACCCCTCCTTCCTTGCCTATCCCTTGTGAACAGGTTGTAGCCATCAATAGCCACACTCCAGTCATGGGATTCATCTCACCAACTTTTGTAACTTTCCAGCCGCACAGTAGCTTTCAACTCCTCCATATTTATCCTGCGGACATCCATTTTAGGATTTTTAACATTTCAATAGTCATCTGTGAAGTTCTGCTCCTTTTTTCTATTCTTTTTGTATCCTGATTTTTGTCAGGCATGCTGGAAAGAAGTAGAGGGTTCAGTCAACGTCATAAGTCTGAGAGTCTGTTGTTTAATCTCAGATAGGTTTGATCAACAATTTCTCAATCTTCCTGAATATTTTAGAAGAAGCAGTTAAATCTGTCAGGTACCATAGGTATGGTTCCATGGAGTTTAAACTAATGATGGTCCCAGTTATCAAGGTCCTGCCCCTATTCTCCATCCCCATCCCCATCCCAAATTTGTATACCTGTTTCCTGCTTTGCAGTGACTACATTTGAATGCAAAGTGAGTCAGAGGAGGGAGGGACTGCAGAAACCCAGCTTTAAATCAGCTTAAACTGCTGTGGAACCCAGCCTTGAAAGGAAGGTCTGTTGTTGCAGCTGATTCCATTGTCAAGCAAGGAGAACACTGAATTTTGTGATTGCCTCTGAGGTTTTTTTGGTACGGTAATGAATTCCTCCTACTATATATTGATATGCCCCTGAATAGACACATTTTTATTATGGTTTTGTCTCAAAAAATATTGTAGGGTTTTCTTAGGGGGGCAGTTTGTTATTTGTTGGGAGGCAGGGGGCAATTAAAGTCCAGCTTCTTCCCTCTCCGCCATCTGGGTCTGTTCAGTTAAACTGAAAAAATCACCTGGGTAGGGCATTCTAAATATTTTTTCATATAAACCTCTTTTATTATGCATGATAATGCTACTCATTTCTAGTGACATTGGTCCTCAGGTTGCCAAAGTATTCTGTAGCTAATAGAGATGAATAGAGATTAAGGGCAGTAAAATTTTTAGATCACAGAACATTTGGTTTACAGACTAGTAATTTGTATTTGTTTACTGTAATTCTTCACAGAAGCATAGTCTTCTGTTTTGAAGGTACCAAGTGAAGAAGAACCTGCCTCATGTGGTTATTATTTTCACCGGTTAATCATCCACTGCTTAAAACGAATTAAAAAAAAGTAATTCCTGATTTTGAATTCATTTTGGTTTGTCACCCAGTCAATTGTATTGTCATTTATGCTGTGCAAAATTGAGGAATCGCATAGTTTCCAGTCAATGTTTCCTATGAAGACATAAGTCATTCTTGGTTGTCTTCCTGATAAGTTTTCTTTGTAAGGCATTTTCCTTGATTCCCAAACCTTTTCTGTATTCTATCCAAATTTCCATTGTTCCATTTAAAGGTCAGGGCCACGATCTTAGGCACTTTTCTACTGTGTATGTATTTCTATATGTTTTAGTATTGAAAAGTTTCTTCTTAGATTTTAACTACAGTGGCTGCTTTAATGCTTTCTACTGAAGAAGGTTGTTTGAGTTGCTTTTTCACTGTGACTCATTAAATGCTTTTCACAGTTTGCTTTGCAGATTACAGCCCTTCAGTCTGTGGCCTGCTAGAAGTTTGACTTTGATTTTGAATGTAGAGAGTTTTTAGTGTAATTCAGTAAGGCAGGGAAAAACAGTTTTGAATGATGACCAGTTATTTACAAGCCAAGAAAAGATTTGCTGCTGATTTTTCTGAGTTATTCCTGAAGTGACAAAACTCAGAGAAGTGATATGTTTCTGCACATGTAAATAAAAGATAGTTTGAATATAAGTAAGATAAAAGTAAGATAAAAACCCATTTGTACTAACTCATATGCTAGTAGTGGGAAAAACCTTTTGGCTCATAACCACGATTGGTATTAGCTAATTTTAAGATCCAAATAGAGATGAGCAACAAATAAGTGTACTAATATAAGTGACGAAATAAAAAAATTAATGCACTAACACTAACCTTTTAATTTTATGTCTTAATTTTATTCAGAGATCACAATGCAGACATCAGAGACTGGGTCGGATACAGGTTCGACTGTGACTTTACAGACGTCTGTGGCTGGCCAGGCAGCAGTGCCCACACAGGTAGTACAGCAGGTACCAGTTCAGCAGCAGGTAGGTGGCTGTTAGTTTTGGGAAGATTAAAAAAAAAATTGCGGGAAGAATAGTTCTTGACAATGTAGTGAAGAACTTGATTTTGTACAAGGGTGCTAAATGAGTTCTTTTGCTCTGCTTTTATCAATTTTATTTTGCTGGACTTAAAATAGTCAGAGAAAGGCAAGCTGTTTTCAGGATCTGTTCCTTAATTGGAGCATCTGACAAGCACCAGTAGTACACATATGTGATTCTAACTGTAGGTTATTATGGAATTCATGTAATAGCTCATAGAAATGTACTTTAATTTATGTTACTGAATATTTACATTTTTTCCTTTAAATAATGAATAATGAGTATCTTTCTGATATCATTGGCTATATCATTTCTCCTTTCATTCAGATGTCCAAGTAAGTGCAATACAAATGTAAAAATGAAAAGCACTGTCCATTGCATCTCTAGGCTTGAATCCCTGCAGATCTTTGCACAATGTTATGAAAGTGTTTGTGGTATGACAATAGGTAATTCGTGATGTGCACTTGCCAGAGAAGTAAAAAGACTTCTGTAGCAGCCAGCACAGTGCACACCTGTTACATGAGACGGTCACTCACCTATGTGGCACCCAGAAGCTTTGGAAAGAGTGGTGACAGAAGAAAATGGAGAGGAAAAAAGGAAAAGTATGGAGGTAGAAAACAGGGACTGAATGTGAAAGCCATGACAGCTATCCAAGACTTTTCCAGAATACACAGAAATTAGCTGTCCCTGTGATGGGTACTCTGGGTGACATCTGAAGTTGTTTTTCGTCAAAAACTGACTTCACAGTTTCAGAATCAATAATACGAGAACTGGACATAGTTTGTTAAATAGTGTAATTTGTTTCTGTGCCAGTGGAGCACTTTTCCCTAAATTAAATTTTTCAGCATTTGTTAAGTTTAGTTCTAAAATTCTAGGTGGTGCATTTTATGTATATGTTCCACAGTCTTATACATCTCACTAACATTTTTTTCCTGATGTGCAGACTCAATTTATAATGCCTTATACTTCCATTACTATAGTTTCTGCTTATATCTTGATGTATCTTTTAGGATGCAAGCTTGCTTTTAAGAAAACTGATGCAGAAAAGCATTGAGTTTGGACCTAAAAGATTTTATTTAAATTCTTGGCTTTGTGTATTTGCTGAGAATTCACCGCTAGAGGATCAAGTCTTGTTTGAAATATTTTCTCCTGAGTTCAGACTGTTAAATAGCTTGCTTTCTCTTTACTTGAATGTTGATTAGGATAGAGGCTTTTGAATACTATGTTAGGTTTTAATTGAAGCTTCCATGATGCTTGAACTTAGCTAAACTTTGTAGGAGATTTTGTCTGGTTAACTCTTTTGTAAGGTTTGTGAAATGCAAGGCTTTTTTTCTTTATGAAATATGATCTGATAGTTTGACTGATTTTTATGTTCTTTCATGATGACAGATGTTTAATAGATCTAGTTTATGTGATTTGTTCTTTGTTATTCCTGTATTTCAGCTTTTCAGATAAAAGATGGCAATTTGGTAGTGCTACACAGTTGCTTGTTTTAAGCAAATAAGATATACATATGATAGTCTAACATTGCATACTGAATTTTATCTATGTGAAGTACTGATCAGTGTGAGAGATTGAAGACTGGTAACCAGTTAGTGTCATGCAGGATACTTTACAGTATTGTAGTTCTAATGATTGGATTCATTGAACTGTAAGGATAGGATCTTCTATGCATTTCTGTTCTATTTTTGTGACAAGCAAATGAAAAATGAGCCGGGCTTTGGTATTTATAAACTTAGCTTGTGTAAAGTTTCTACCTTTCTGAAAACTTCTAGGATGGAATTGGCTCCTTATTTTCCCACATAGATAAAGCATTAATCTTTGTCACTGACTATCTGCATCTTTTCTGAAATTATTCCAGTTGTCCTTTATTAATGTAATACTCCTGTCAAAATACAGAAGCCCAGGAGTAGATTGGTTTTTTCTTGCTTGATCATATATTGCAATCTTACATACATCTCCTTTAGTATTGCTGCTTCTGAGTATTCCCTTTCGTTGAATACTCCATCATTATTTTGTATTATTTTTCCCTATGGGGATGTTAGATTATATTTTTCCAGCTAACTCTTAACACTGACCATAGCAGTTAGCATAATGTTTCAGAAAGGAAAGCTAAGGGATCAACCCAGCCAAGGAAGAGGAGTTTCTTCAAAATTTTGCAGGGATTGAAGATGCAACAAGAATTTTGGGAAATCCAATGCAGACAGTACTGCAGTGATTAAAACACGGTATGTGTGGGAGATTTTGTAGAGAGAGAGGATAGATTACAGAAGTGAATGTGTAGTGAGGAGAAAAGGAAAAGTGAAGATGTGAATGTTGTATGCTAGCAGGAAATATGATGAAGAGTGTAGATGGGATAGGCAATTCAATTGTCAGGTTAAAAAAAAAAAGAATATCAAACAACAAGAAAATCACTGTGTGGAGGAAATTGTAGGTGTAATCTACCCTGAGGAATTATCTCTGTATAGGTCACATTTGCGTGAAGTTAATATCGGCTTTATGTACATTTGATAGGAGTGGGCCAATTTGCCTAAAGAAAATCAGGAGAAAGAGTGCTAATTTCATAAAATTATTCTTTTGATGACGGAGGGAGGGCTTGTTATTTCTGCACATTCAAAGTTAGCAATGTTGAAAGTTGGAGGGAAGGTTTTAAGTGCGTAATATATAAGATATGCTTTCATTTTTTTCTATGGTTTATAAGAGACATAATAATGTCAGCTGTATCCAAAATACATGTGACTATTCACATTTGGATTATATTATCTTATGAATATAATTTACTAAAACAATAGAGCACTTCTTGAATTTTGTTAAATTCAGAGATACTGTAACATTAGTGTCTGTGTATATGCAACAAGTTGGTATATGCTGAAACTTCTGTATTATCATGTTTATAGTAATTTATTAGTACTTTTTAGTGAATAATGCCATTTTAGATTAATTTGGTTTTAATTAATATTAAGGCAGGGTATAGTATTTCATTTTGCCTAGTGAGTTCTTTGTTTCCCACGTTTCCATTCCTGTATATACACCATACTTAAATGACATCTCATGCATGCATTATTTAGGGTTGTTTTCATGGTATCAGTGTTTTATTTATGCTCACAAAATGTATGATATCTTTTTCAAAATGAAATGCTTTTGCCCTGAAGAAGAGCAAGCTGAATAAGTGGAAGGGTGAACTAAGAGCCTTTTTCCTACAGCTGTGTTTCTACTGAAGCATCCTGTCTTTTGAGCAAGCAGCAAAAGAGTAACTTTTTATATTTTCAGCTAAAACAAATCCCTGATTTGCATATAGCTGGTATAAATATGGAGCTCATGAAAGTCTGCTGTGGTGCTCCAAAAATAGGAAAAAAAAGGTGCCATTAATGAAAACCTGGGCTTCCCCTCTGGTGAAAGTGGCACTGGTGGCAGCTGGTTTCATGCAGCACAGCAGCTGTCACTGTTGAGATGGGATAGAGGGTAATAGTAAGGGGGCAAACATGCCCACATGTGAGCAAAAGACCAAAAAGGTAGGAGTGTAATTAAATTCTGTTTTAATAGCCCGAGGAGTTTTCTTAGTCTTTTGTTTCCTCAGATACGGGGATTTTTCACTAATGTATCATTGCTTTTTCAACAGGCACTCTTTAGCACAGTGCAGTGAGCTTCTAAGGATTCAAAATTAATCTCACTTTGTAGTTTATGCCATGCAATGTGGAAGGATTGGAGAAATAAAACTAAAAATAGTCATATAATTTATTTTATAAAAGTATCTCCATGCATCAGAAGTTGAGAAAAGCATTTCTTCATATTCAGCAGACACGATGGCCATCGCATTCACAACGAATTGTATCATTAACTGAAGATGCAGACTTCTGCTAATCAAAATTGCTCTTAATGCAAAATCATGTTTAGCGTATGAGAAACATAATCATGAACTGACATTAGCCATTATATAAATATGAATGTGCTTAGAATATTACAGCATGTGCTATTTATATGTTGCTTGCCAAAAGTAATCCAGACTAATGAAGGTACAAAAATTATTTTTATCTTTGAGAACAGAAAATGATGCACATCCAAGTCATTTGCATAGGCACTGTGGATAGTTATATGTTCTTTTTTAAATGGAGTTTAAAAATCCATACATATTTTGCCCTATTCTAAGCCCTGTCTTTGCTTAGTAGTACTTTGAACATAAGCACTTCTTTATGGGAAATCAAAATTCTCTCTTAAATTTTGTTTTTATGCTTCAGTGTAATTTCTACATTTCCATATGCTTTTATGCACTTTATTTTCGTTGACAAACTCTCATAGATACAAATAACTTAGTCCCTCATTTGTTCCTCTGAGGTAGTATAATTAATAGAATTTGTTTTTCTTTTTTTTTCCCCTTCAACTAGTAATTATAATTACACATGTATATTGAAATAAGTTTTCATTCGCCTCTTGTTCTGGAAAATTTCAGCTGCTTACTTCTAATCCTATTCCAGTTATTTATTTCGAGCTAGAATCACTGAAGCAAGAGGAATGAAAGATCTTCTGTCTGACCCTACTTAACTGATTATTTCCTATACAAGTCAGTTAATTTTCTGTTTTCCAGCCAGACAATAACAATTACCATGACTAGCTCACCAGTCCACCCCAGAACATACAGTTTTTTAATTTAAATACTGTCACTTTTTAATAAATATTTCATTGTGTTTTCTATTTTCAGCCTGAAACATTTAATTCTCAGAGTATTTTTTAATACAAGAAGGCCATTTAGGTTTAGATCTATGTTGAATATTCTCTCTGTGATCTCCAGTTTCTGCTCTGCCCTAAAAACTAAAGAACATAGCTGATACAATTCCTTTAACAGCTTAATAAAAGGCGCAAGGAAAACAATAAATAAAACAGAAGAGAAGAAAGACTGGTTTTTTTTTCAATTTCCACAAAATATGGGGGTTTTTTTGGTGGTGTTTTAAGCAACTTAACCAACTTCTTGTCAAATAATTTTGTGCTCATAGAGAGTAGATATATGCATTTCATTTCTTCCTGTTGTTGAAGATTAAAAAGAAAATCCAGAGGCACTTGATTTAGTTCTCATGGAAATATTTTTCCCACAATGAAGTAAAATAGGAAATAAAATTAGTATTGGAGATATCATATAACCAAGATTTTCAGCATGGCAGAATTTTCATATACAATGCCATCCTAAAGGCCACTTACTTATTTGTCATTGCTTGACAGGAAAAATATTTACCTCTTAACTTTCTCTACCTGAAGGTTGTTATGTACATTGCAGTACAATGTAGTGACTAAAGCTTCTTTGGGCACCATAATAAATTTAACCATAGCAATACTGAGTTTCAGAGAAGCTGAAGCAAAATAACTTTTTTTATAAACTGTCTTCTTTTTATTACTGTATTGGAAAAAAATTAATCTAATTCAGTAGCCCTTTTGTATTGAACTTCATTGTTAAAATTTAAAGGAAAAACATTTTGATCTGCAAAAGTAGGTAAGATGTTTTAATAGCACTGTAGTGTACTCATTCTTAAATGTTGATTTAAAAAATAAGTTACTTTATTTGCATAGCCATGACATTTAGGCTAATCAAGAATTTATATAAAAATTGGTGAAAATTTGAAATTTATGAATGAAAATTTTAATTTTAACCTCTTTTGATGTTTTGTTTTATGGTATATTAATTTTTTCTTGTTGTTCCAAATCAGAAAATAAACACATTTTGGAATTTTTCAGTTTCCTGTGCAATAGACACTGAGCTTTGACACACTCTATACCACTTTGTCCCTACAGTATCCTCTCATTTCTGTGGTAAAGGTCTTGCACTGTGCTGAATCTGTTGGTTTTGAAATGGTAGCAGCTTGTATCCAAGAATAATGGGAGAATATAATACCTTCTACAGAATGCGAATGTGACCTGCATTTACTGATAGGAAGTTTTTAATGTTGTATTTGTACATACTGTAGAGTTCCATTTTATCAGTATGCAGGTTGGAGGGAGAAAATCACATTTCCTTTATTAATAGAAAAACAGTGTGGGGGTTTTTTAATAGGGAGTAAGCCATATCCAGTGTGTGTGAATAGGGAACAAAGTGCATTTTGGGAGAGGTTGGACAAGAGCATGGAATTCATCCTGACAACAGCATCATTTCCACAGTGTTTCCCCAGCTGTTCTACTGAGACAGAAAATGGAGCATATCCATTACATGGCAGGTGACAAGTTACTGGTTTTAAGAACAAAGCCTGCTTTCAAGATGTTCTCTCACTGTGTAGGTTAAGTAGATCAGTTTGGTGCTCTGTAATAGACTGATCAACAATAACTCCCCTTCTCCTGTTGATTAAAAGTCATAGAACTTGGGTCACCCAAGAGGAAGAAATACTTTTAGAATCAATCTTAAAAACTATTATAATATGTTGCATCTATGTTACACAGTAAAGCACATAAACATTTTAGCCAATTACTGCATTAATGGATGGTTTTGTTACAAATTGGCAAATTTGAATATGGAGAGGTACTAATTAATAGCAAGCTTACAGGCATAACTTTCCTACAGTGGATTTGGATCAAGCCCATTCCATGAAATTATGATTTGAATTAATTTAAGCAATTAAGTCAAAGGTGATGGAAATAGAAGTAGTTTAATTCTTTGAAAAGGTGTTTGTACAATACAGCTATTTATGTTTTTCAATTAAAAAAAATCGTTCCAAAGCCTAGTAATGTGCATGATTTGGATCAGAGTTTTTTGTGTTGACTTTGAGAACTGAATCTTTCTGTTAAATAACTAAATATTAATAGGAGAGGAAATGTACAGAGCTGTACCTTACCTTAATAATTAGAAAACATCTTTAAAGTATTTTTTTTTGAAGTTGAGAAATTGTATTTCAGGTATATTTGTTAATTTATGTAATTATTCATGGGGGAAATCAGATTTTAGTAGATATTTTAACCATCACGTTATGTCTCATTACTGTTAATGGAAAGAAACATCTGATTTTCTATCATGCTAGTATAGCTGCATTCAAAACCTTAGATGCTTTGCTTTTTTCAGAATTCAGGTTTTAATGTCAACCTAAGGGAAGATTTCTGTGAAAATCTAGATTTTCCTTTCACAGTCTGAGTCAATACTATAAAAGACTAGGAAAAATGTGCTTATATACAGAACTTTTTAAAATACAGCAGAGTTGAAGGTATTGAAGTAGGGTATTCTCAAACAGCTCTTGGACATGATCCATCAAATGCCTGAAACCTGGATTCATCTGGGATTACAGTGTTTGCAATCCTTAAGACCAACTGGATCAGGCTGAAGTTGCCTCATAGCAAAACATCTGAGAAAAATAACAGTCACTTAAAAGTAGTTTATGTTAAATCTGTGTACTAAATATGTGCATTGTCACCTTCTTGATTCAGTTCCTTGGTTAAAATTGTGCTGGTCTGTGAAGTCTGTAAGTCTTTTTGCATCTTTTAGATTCTGGACTGCTCTTGAACCAAAATACGGCTTCTCTAAATGATGGCAAGTGTAGAGTATGGAATCCTTAATCTTTATGGTGGCAGAAGACAAAAAATTAAGACTGGAGAGAAAATTGCATAACCTGGATCTTCCCTACATAGTATATGAATCAAAGGAATTGATTTGTGTCTATGTGTGTGCTTTTACAAAACAGGCATGCCATCTCAGCCATATATGTGAAAATAATCCATGCCTTCCTGCCTTTTGTTGTTGTTTAGCTCATTGAGGTAAAACCAGGTTTTGTTGGAGTTTGTTATAGCTGATGGTATTCTGGGAAAGGTGTTACTCAGATTGGGGGTTTTGATCCATAATTGTACATTGGATCAAAGCATTACTGGGAAAAAAGCTTGTACCACTGTAGTTTAACTCAAGTTCGAAAAGAGCTAAACCATCTTAATGTGAACCTTTATTTCTAAACTTACTGCAACCCATTTGAGCTGTGATTTTAAGGCTTGTACTATTGAAATGGAATAAGAAAAGGCATACATGTGGCCAAACGATACTTTGTTTTGTAGTAATTGTAATTCTTCAGCTTGGTGCATAGCATGGTTGTACTTCGTTTCATCCTTGTTACTCTTTCCAGTTAGTTCTGTCTTTGGCACTGAAGGTATGTATGCTCTGTGAGCGTGCATCTTAAATGTTAGGGCTCCATTTACCAGACTTGCAGCACAAATATTTTGTAACAGTAACTTTCTTTGCTATGAGAACAGAGATATCCCATCTTGTTTAGAAGCCATTAGATGCACTGAAGCATCAGTCCTTCTGATCCCACATTTCTGGTGGTTTTGTTTTCAGGTACAGCAAGTGCAGACTGTGCAACAGGTACAGCATGTCTACCCAGCACAGGTTCAGTATGTGGAGGGAAGTGACACAGTCTACACTAATGGAGCTATGTAAGTTGGCAAATGATTGGAATTTGAATGTTTATTAAAATGTGAAGTTAAATATATATTTTCAATTAGATTATACCAACTAGTGTATTTTAAGTTGGAAAGAAATGTTTCAGTCAAAGCTCTTATTGTCGAAATATTTTTTTGGATAACAAGCTGAATTCACACTGTTTGTTTTTATTAAGGCAGAATTTTTGTGTAAATAGAATTCTTGTGATTGTTTTAGGTGGACTTACATGAAATTACATATACAGCATAGTATTCCTTCAAAAAGTACCTTTCAGTTTATGGGTAATTTCTGTCCATAGGACGTACTGTGTAACTTCTGTCCTCAGGACAGAAGGCAGAGCCTTCTGTCTTCCTGGCTGCAGTCCTAGTGGCAAATGCATAGAAAGGTGCAGCAGCTGTAGTTATTATTTAAAGAAAGTAGTAATGTAATTTCATTCCTGTGTTTAATAAAATAAGTATTTTTTTCCAATGGAATGAGGAGAGGCAGAGGAAGGAGAGTAGCTTTGTCTCTTTTTGCTGCTTTTTTAGCCTCTTTTCTGCGCATTATTGTGCATTTCCTGCTGGCTTTTTCATCATCAAGTTCCCTTCTCCAATACATGAGCTTAGAAACATAGAAAGAATAATCTAGGTTTGATGGGACCTCTGGAGGTTACCTTGTCTAATGCCTGACTTGGAGCAGCACCAGCTTTGAAGTTGGCTCAAACATCAGAGTAGGATCACGTTGCTTGGGAAGGAGCTTCTCTACCTCTTTTTTTCATTTACCTACCTTTTGCCATTTTTGCTGTGTTACCAGCTTTAGGAGAAAATAGATTTAGAAAGCTTCTTTATTGTCTGCAGGTACTTACTTGTTGATGGTAATCCAAAAGTGAATCAAAAGAGCATTATTATTTAGATCAGAGACTTCTGATGTTAACACTGGCAGCATTCTTTGGTCATTTCTACTAGCATATTTTGCTTACTTCATTTTTCATAGACTGTCTTGTCTGTTTTCTTCTCACTTGTAAATCCTAAACAATGTATCTTAAATATGCATTAGACTTCCCTATTGTACTGGTTTTGGCTGGGATAGAGTTCATTTTCTTCATAGTACCTGGTCTGGTGCTGTGTTGGACTTGTGCTGCAAACAGTTGATGACACAGAGATGTTTTAGTTACTGCTGAGCAGTGCTTACACAGAGTTGAGGCCTTTTCTGCTTCTCACACCACCCCACCAGAGAGCAGGCTGGGGGTGCACAAGAAGTTGGGAGGGGACACAGCTGGGACAGCTGACCCCAACTGACCAAAGGGGATATTCCATACCATATGATGTCGTGCTCAGCATATACAGCTGGGGGAAGAAGAAGGAATGGGGGGACGTTCGGAGACATGGCGTTTGTCTTTCCGAGTAACTGTTATGCATGGTGGAGCCCTGCTTTCCTGGAGATGGCTGAACACTTGCCTGCCGATGGCAAGTGGTGAATGAATTCCTTGTTTTGCTTTGCTTGCAGGCATAGCTTTTGCTTTACTTACTAAACTCTCTTTATCTCAATGCACAAGTTTTCTCACTCTTACCCTTCTGATTCTTCCCCCCATTCCACTGGGAGGGCAGCAAGCAATCGACTCTGAGAGGGTGTTGCCAGCTGACATTAAACCACAACAGTCCTTTTTGGCACCCAGCACAGGACTATGGTCCCTGGCTGTGGTGTAAAGCATATTTTTCATGTTTTGTCCTCTTCAGACTGGCCCAAGTGCTATGGCACAAGCTATCTCCCATGGGGCTGATGTGCCAGGCTATTGAACCCACACAGTCCAGTAAACCCAGTTGTCCCTTTCCTCCACCTGACTGGAGGCAGGCCCCCTTTATTCCTGGTCAGCTTATTCATTACTTGATTTTTGTAACTGCAAAAGCTAAAACCAATCTTTAACATGTACAGCAATAAAGAGAGCATGGCAAATACTAGGGCTGTCTTTCCCCACTGGGTAGTCAGTTGCAGGTGTACTGGATACCCCTCCAAGTGAAAGCAAACTGTGGCCAGCACTCTGCTGCCAGAGGGATTGAGAAACACATTAGGGATATCAGTTGTAGCATACCACTTGGCTGCCTTGGACTCCAGTTCATACTGGAGTTCTAGTGTGTCCCGTACAGCAGCACTCAGTGGCAGCACGAATTCATTGCAACCACAGTAGTCTGCTGTTAGCCTCCAAAGGAGGTCATTCTTAAGTAGGCTAGTATTCTTTTTTCATTTATCACTTATAAGTTCTCATGGGAGCTGTTGGCACGTGCACTTCTGGCAGTGCATGAGATGACTGCTTACAGCCCTTCGAAAAAACAGAACCAGAAGTTACTGACTGCTTAATACGAACCTTCAGGTTTCCATGATTTTATTGTGTTTCTGTGTCTGAATCCCTGTGTCAGTTTCTGCAAAATCAGTCAATGGGATATAAAAAACTTCCTTAACACAGTAAGAAAGCTCTCCTTAGCAAGTGAGCCTAATCCAGATTGTCTTTCTCTCCTATAGAAGAAGAATTTACCCATGTTGTTGTGAACAACAACATTGTGAACAGCCAAGTTGTTGTTCAATACTTAGAGGAACATTAAATTTTCTAGAGATTATGGTTTCATTCATGGAGAATGGGACCAGTCTGTGTTTCAACTCTGAATTTTTAAAGACTATATCTTGTGAAACACATTTTCCTGTATACTTTTATACTCCAGATTAAGAATGGAAAAATGTCATTTATGTAAATTAAAGTTATTGAATATATGTATTACATGTTATAATGCCATTCATTTGACAGGTGAAGGAGAACAGGGCTGTAGGTTGCTGAAGCCTAGCTTCCTGCAGAGATTTAAGAATTGTTTCTCTATTTGCCATTTTATTGTTACCTAAATTCTATGGTTTAAAAAAAAATTGGTTTTGTTTCTCCTCTTCTTGTTTTGCCATTGGATTAGCTTGTTCAGAGCTATATCAATGCGGGAGTGACATTTCAGAATTTTTGGAAGTGAACAAAAAGCTTACCATATCCCTAAACAAAGCTGGCATAGACTGTGTTGTGTTCTGCTGTGACAGAAAACACAGAGGCCAGCCTCGCTTGGGCTAAATATTTAGGCAAGTGTTCAGATTGCAGTTCATCTTTCTATTCTTTATACTGAAACCTGTGAAAGATGAGGCTTGTGGATCCTGACAGATTCACAGAAGTGTGGTACAGCCAATTTGTGCAGTTATTCCTACTCCAGAAATTGTCTGTTTCACTTTCAGAAAACAGGATTAGGTTTATAAATGATGCGATTGACTAGAGTGATCGCTGGTTTGTATTTTGGGTTGCCTTTCTATGATTATATGTTTGATTTATTTTATGACTGTGCTAAATCAAAATCTTAACTCAAAATCAGATATAGGATGCTTCCATGACCTATCAGGTGACGGTACTGCTCTAGCAATGGATTAAGAAGTCTGCAACCCATAGTTAGGGTGAAGACATTAATTCAGTGTACAGTCATCTCTGGAACAAATGTTGCAGTATGTCTGATGAAAGAATTATTCTTTAGTTCAAAATAAAGCACTTGCAAACTAGCACTGATTTAAGACAATATATGATAGCAGCAAAGGATGCAATTAGAATATATATGAGGAAAGAGTTACCTGATTCTTTTGATTCTAAAGGTAAGAAATTTGTCAGGTTTCACAGTCTTTGTCAAATGTAACTCTTGTATTCTTATAACACAAGTCTTCCCACGCATTTTATATCATGATTTGCCTATGCTTACAAGTTATTTGGTTTTATTATAATTGGAGCCATAATGATAATACAAGGGGTGTAACCTACAACTTGTCACATACGTTGTATAATATGAGATTATTTGAATTAAGTTATCTACATTTGTGTCTGGTTAATTACAATTTTGCTTGTCAAGCATGTCACTCTATCCTGAAACAAAAATGCAGTGTTGTTGTGATGACATGTACAGGTTTACCTGGCAGTTTAGAATAGATAAAGAATATTATGGCTGCACCTATATTTAGAAGCCAAGTGAGTCCCCTATGCTAGACATGAACTTTCTTCTTACATAAACTGTAATGCATTAATCAAGTGTAGCCATTTTCCTGGTAATTCTGGTGTGGCAAAGAGGGTTTTAATTGCTGGGATTGTCTGAGAATTGCTATCGCTGTTGCATCCAAACCACGTTCTTCACCAATTTGTTGTACTACAGTCTGTGTGGTTTATGTGGGCAAAACACACCTTGTATGCAAAACCAAGGATTTACTATTACTCTAATTGAAATCTTAACTGTCAAATCAAATAATTATTATCAAAACAGTTAAAGTTGTTATCTTCCTAGTGTCCATCCCTTTTTCTCTGGCATTATGCTTACCCTTTTACTACCCCACTGTGTACTAAGGTCAATGGCTTCCATCTGGGAAAGGGTTACAGCAAGTTAGCATCTTCACAGTTGTTATGCCTGGAGAAGTATGATGGATGGTGGGGGGCTCTCTACCCACACTGAGTCCACTTGCAGCAATTTTTAATATGTTTTCTAGCACAGTCTACACCTTATTCATTCTTCATTGGTTTCTGTTTCCATATTACATCTGAATTTACTGTATATGGTGAGTTTTACATTTGCTGGATGCTTCTTGAATACTGTCATCCCACGCTCATGATCTTCTTTGCTATGTTTTTAATCTAGGGTCATAGATTGTTCTACACAGAGTAATTATTGGATATTACTATCTGTTAGAGCAATGTATCAGCATTTTAATGATAGGTTTTATGCCCCACAGTTGTAGAAAGCTAAGCTAAAATAGAAACAGATTAAGTAACATTTATCTGATTGTTCAACAGTTACTGTTGCAGCTAAGCTAGAACAAAGCTCTAGTCTAGCACAGACAAGTCTAGGTACAGGAAGCCTGACAAGCCTGAGTCTTGAGGTCTTGCAGTTTTAGTACAACCCTGTGACATGTTCCTAACAGTGGCAATACCATATTTCTTGGACTGTGTAAGTATGCTGTACTTCATCAGAATTTCTAGAGGTCTGCAACTAAGATTCCTTTATCTGTCTAACTTACAGGTCCTGAGAATATAAGATTTCTCCTCTGTTTTCATTTACTTCATTCCCTGGTTTAGAGGGTTTTCCTGCAGTTGTGCATTGCGTATGCTTTTATTGCTTTATTTCCATGTGGAAAAAAGATCTTGGACTGAGTGTTGAAGATCTCAGTTCTTTTTTATTGATAATGAATGCCTGTCAGTAATGTATTTACTTTAAGTTTTGAATGTGACAAATAAGAAATTCTTTATATGGAATAATGCAACTCTATTTTAGGTAAATTTTATAAAGCTTTTTCTGGCTGATGTATTTTAAGTTGTTTGTGTAGAGAAAACGTATATGCACAAAGCAGGTCAACTATTCACTGTTACAGAAGAAATTCCTTTTTGTTCTCTGGTTATAGAAGCATTAATTGCCCTTTCATAGTGTAGGTTTTGATCTTTGGTTTTAGCAGTTTCATTTGATAAAGGGGGATTGGTGAAAGGAAACGATTACTTACAGTCTTATCAGTTCTTCCACCTCTGTCTTTAGATCAATTGAGGAGGCTTTTGTGGAAGAAAGTTATTGCTTCATTGGGATTTGATCTGTTATTAAAAAGGCCTGAATCCATATTCTGGTTACAGGAGTAGATTTCCTTGTGGGGAGGCAGAAGGTTGTATGAGACAGGATGAGACAGGTGATTTAGCCCTCTCCATAATCATTCGACTGCTGTATCATGTTCTGTTGTGTCAGTGTTAGGGTATATGGCACTTCCCTTTCTTTCCATTGCTTATGATACACTGCCTCCAGAGGTTGCAGCAATACATTGGCTGTGATAAGGCCTTCCTTAGTGTCACACAAAAGATTCTGTTCTGTCTAGTTTCTACGAAGCTCACTATCAGCTTTAGGACTACAGGATTATACTAAAATCTTAAAAGAAGTTTGGGGATGTTCTGGCGTGAAAGACTTTCTTGGCTTTTATGCATGGAAATTTTCTACCGTATCAAAATACCATAGCATTATCGTGAGCATTAGCTACTCTGAATATAATTAAATAGTGTGTCTTGAAATATTTATTTTCATCTTGTGTTTATCATGTTTATATCCCAGGAAATAATACGTTAGTTAATTAAGTATCATAAAAGGCTAACTTTCATTACAGAGATGACAGTGAAAAAATACTTACGTGCCTGCCTGTTACGTTATGTAGGTAATCCATATCAAAACCCACAAGAATAGTTCTGAGGTTACTACTTGATGAATAAGATAATAATTATTCTTACTTGTATGTTTGAATTACAATTACAGAAAAATAAAAAAAATAGGCACTGAATGATTTTCTTGTTTGAATTAAGATGCTGTTCTTGTACAGCCACTGTGAATGAATGCTGGTATTTCAAATGACAGTAAAAAAGGTATACATCTTCAAGTAAAAAAATAGATTTATGTGCATTTTACACAAGACTTGCATTTTCCAAGTTGGTGCCTACAGCTAGTGATAAGAATTCTGTAGTTAATTACTTACTTTGCAAGACACAGAAGTTACTGGAATATAATTTCAAGTTAAAGCCTGATTTAAAACAAACACAAACTGCGCTTGAGTTAACTTGTTTGGACTTCTAGCCTGATTTGAGAATTTTTATTTAAAGATATTCTTCATTTTTCAACTCCTGGAAAAGAAATTGTTTGATTTTTTTTTTACTCAAACGCAGAGTGATGGAAAAAATCTTTCAACAAGTCAGACATTTCTAAGACATGAATAAAACCAGCATAAGTCTGTAGGTGATGTTTTCTAGGCAAATATATATATATCTGATGTATGTCAGATTATTTGAGTGAGTATTGCATGTTTGTGCTACAAGTGCTATGGACTTCCTTATTTCAAGTTTTATTTTCCTCTTTGCTACAGTTTTAAGTTGAGGGGTCGTGTTATCATATGCAATGACTTTAAAACCTTTGAGTCACTGCTTTCCAAAACATCATCTTATCCAGTTGCATTTTTAATTTTCAGATGATTTAGTTTGTATTTTGATTAAATTAAAAGGCTCTTTGCTAAGTTGCAATTATTATTACATGTAATAATAATGGTTTTATCTCACTTTTAATTACCCTGTTAATCTCTATTGCTAAAGGTTTGCTTAATCATCTCCAATAATCAGGTGTTCTAGAAGAACCTGCTGGTTGTTGGAACAAAGGGAAGAGTGTATTTATCTTGGAGTGTGACCCATTGGTGTACCCAATGATTGTTCTCGATCCATTGATACAGAGTAATGTTGTAAGCAGATGTAGGTGTTCTGATACAATCCCTATTTAGAGACTATACATGATATACAGATCTAAACAAGGTAAAAGCAAACAAACATTTCCTTTTCTCTCTCTATGCCACACCAAGTCTGTGCCTTTTTTTCCTGTGAATTTTTGAGCTTTCTCTAGGATTTGCATTGCTTCAAAGAACTGCCTCTTCAATTCTACTTATGCAGGTGAAATTTGTTCTCCTTGCATCCTTTGGACAGTCATTTTCCTCTAGCCATGTCTATTTTTACTGTCAACAATGGCCTTGTCCTTTCATTCCTTTCCTTACTGATAACTGATACTGATACCAAGTTTTTATTTTCTCTTTTGGGAGAAATTACAGTGTTCAGTCCCTTGACGATCATTTGCATGAATTGTTTCCCCTGAGCTTCCATCACTACATTTTCCTAAATTGTCCTCTGCTGCATAACAGTGTTCACATTCTGTAAATTGTGTGATTCTGAGACAGATGCAACACCAGCTCTGCTAGCGGTTGTCTTGCTTATCACAAGGTGACAATATCACAATGGTATCACAAGGTATCACGATGATACCTTGGCTTGATGAAACAGATTAACTGAGACCTGCATGGTACCTGAACACATACATAGATTATTACAATTCAGAGATCAACTGATTTTAACTCTCCAAAAGAAATGTTAATAGATTAACTGTCTGCTTGAGCATTAGTCCCTAAAAGAACTATTTTGCTTTGTTTTCAGTAGACTGCAAGGCATTTCTTTTAGATTAACTTGAAGTTTCTTGCAGCTGATCTTCAGGCTTTTGAAATACTCAAAAAGGAAAATGTTTAAGTAGCTTAAGGATGGATGAGAGCAAATAATGTTGTATGAGGCTTATGAAACATTTAGGATTTTAAAGCTAAAGTTTCGGAGTTTCTGAAAGTCTCTGAAGAGGAGGGGAGAAACTGTTGTGGCCATAGTTATAACAACAAAACTTCTGACTTTGGTTATTGGTAAGGTGCTGTATGTTCTTCAGTTATTTAAGAGTAATGATTGTCTGAAGCTGAAGAAGGAATCATTATCTCTGAGTCCACTGTTTACTAATTAATTAATCTTGCATAAGTTTTCATAATTAAAAAAACATAAAAACAAACAGTAAATTGCCATGGCCTTTTCTGTGTATTGATAAGAAACTAATCCCTGTCTGGATAGAGGGAAAAAAAAGCCTGACTTCAAGTTCCTGGATAGGTGTATTAATCACCAGCTTACTGCATAAAATGCAGATGCTGCTTTATTCTCTTGTGGTTTTGGACAAAAGTGTCAGAATTTTTTTGTTGAAGTCATTTAGTTGCATGGTGTTGCATGATTTTGTGTTTTGTTTGATTATAATAAATGGAGACTTATGCAGAGATTGGGCACTTCTCTGTTTTCTCTGACTCATGATACTTTTAAAATTTATTCAATTGGACTAAGTGCATCTCAGCATATGCAACTCCAAGTTAATGGAGAACTTTGAATTTCAAAATGGTGTTGCCTGTTGATTACAAGCAATGCTACAGATTTTTATGCTCAAATAAGAAAAATAATGGTTGGGTAAACTGACTGATTTTTACCTTTTGACCTTTCTGTTATCATGCTTGTTTGATACAATCAAGATACAAAGCTTAGCAGTCACGAAACAGGATAAAATTTGCAAATAGACTTTTGCAAGATGAGGAATCTGGCCTTTGAAATGATGAAAGCTATTTACTTAATAATTTTGAAATACGTTGATTTGAAGATCAAATTTAGTACATGGGAACAAATACACATTCAAAAACTATAAATAGATTATAACCTATGAAGAGTAATGATTCAAGATAAGTGATTAAGAACATGAAACATATGATAGAAGGTTTCAGTAGCTGAATAGTTTGTTAGGGTAAACTGGTTGATGAGGCAAGAATGTTTCATAGTTTAAAGTGATTTTAAAAATTTTACCGTTGCATACCTTTAACTTCTTTCATCTTTGTGACCTTTTTACAAATCATAGTTCTGGTTTGGTTTTATTTCTTAAATCCAGTTTTTTATCGTAACATGAATTCATATGCAATTTTGAATTCACTCTCTAAACATAACTGCATTTCCCAAAATACCAGTGACCTCAGATTTTCAAGCTTTAGCCAACAGCTTTAATGAATTTAAATACAATGGATAACATAGGATTCTTGAACATCGGATTATCTTGGCTGACATTTGTATGAAATGTTTGCAATTTTGCAACATGCACAGTATGCAAAATATATAACATCTGACTAAAATCCAAAATTTTATTGTCGGATTAAAAAAAAGTTAAAACAGATGGACCTTTATAAATTGCCTTGCAATATATTAATAATTGGATTAGCTCTTTCTGACTGTCTCCTCAATTTTTGTCCTACTTCCCTTCTCTCCTTCTCTTCAGGTAAGACTGACAAATTTTTCTGTAAGGTTTGGTGGATACTTTGTTTAATATTGTCACTGAATTAGTTATTTAGTGCTTTGACTTGATTAAATGTTATTCTCTGAGGAGGCAGGGGTGTTTGCCAGTCTACTTTAATATTGTTATAACTATTATACATACATTTCTAGAATTACAACATTTCCCTCAGCTAAATGAACAATACAAATCATTTCTTTTCTTTTTGTTTTCTTTTCTTGAAGCCGATCAACAACTTATCCTTACACAGAAACCCAGATGTACAGCCAAAACACTGGGGGAAATTATTTTGATACTCAAGGAAGTTCTGCACAGGTGACAACAGTGGTCTCGTCTCATAGCATGGTGGGCACTGGAGGGATTCAGATGGGTGTCACAGGAGGACAACTCATTAGCAGCTCAGGAGGGACCTATCTGATTGGCAATTCAATGGAAAATTCTGGTCATTCAGTGACTCATACAACACGGGCCTCCCCAGCAACAGTAAGTATTTCAGACTGATGCAAAATCCTTGGGACTAGTTTCTTATCACTCAGATGTTCTTGCAGACTGACATGGGTTTTGTGACAGAATGTATAGCAGTATTATGTTGTCAGAATAAGTACTATATAGTACTTTTTGTAAAATAAGTAATACATTTATACATAAAGTAAGATATAGGAGTAATAATACCGTGAAAACTTAAACATGAAGGCAGACCCTTCCCCTGACAGCTTGCAAATATTTACATTTCATAGGTTAAATTTTTGCATTCAAGTAATATCAGTGAATGCTTTGGGAATGCTCACATAATAGTTTGTCTGAGCTGAATATTTCTCAGGTTGGGAACTTAAACAGCTGCCTTTAACATTTTTTTTTTTTTTCTCAGAACATAAGAAAAACACAGTGTTGTTAACTATGTTAGATGTAAACGTTAAATAATGTAAGTTACAGATAGGTATCTGTAACTTCCCTGCATTTGTTCAGTTTGTTTGCTTGATATTAGTGTAGGTTTGGTAGCCTATTTCAAAATATTTCCAATTGTTCAGAATACTGAGATACTACCTTTTGACCCTTTGGTTTTGCTTATCTATGGTATGTCTCCAATGTCTGTTCCAGCTTAACAGCTCATTGTGAAGGTGTCTTACAATGCTATGGGAAGATGCATTCTGTTACAACTGTGATAGATAATATTCTGGACACTTAAACACAGAACTTTCCTTTAAGAGCTTACTCAATCAGCCCTTGTTTCAATTAGGAAAATGGGTTTATGCTTAGTCTAGCTTTATTGCGTAGCCCTAATGAATACTTTTACTTAATTCTTCTGGGTATTCTGGTCTGGATGTAGGGATTTGGAAGTAATGGGGAAGAGAATTGTGAAACATAGAGTAGGAAGAGTTGAAAAATATAATAAAGGAGATAAAGCATCATTAATAATACAGATTCATCAGTACTCAAAAGGGCAATGAAATTAGGGGACTTTAGGAACCAATGTAATGAGTAAAAATCTAATATTCTTCTATTTGAAACTATGATGAATGTTTATGATAGCATTGGATGATTTAGATGGTCTGATAAGATCTCTTCATTTTGATTCTTAAGGTGATTGGTATGGATAAACACAAAATTCTTGTACAATGTAAAAAATTATCGTTTCATCCAAAAACTGTGTAGTATTATTTTCTGAGAATAAAAATTGTAAAGACTCATGATTCGTGAATAGCATAAATATCAGTAACATAGTGGGAGCTTTCAGCTAGCAACAGAGAATTTTATATTTGAGTTACAAAATAAAAAAGAGCGTATATTAACATTTGCCTATATTTTACATGGCTTCAATAGAAAACCAGAGTTTCTTACTCCTCTTTCAGATTCATTTAATTAAAATGAAGACTTTAACTTGACTTTTCTGTTTTCTTTTAAAGTACTCTCTCATTTTACTTGCTTGGAAGGTATTTCATGGAATTTTTCACCTGACTTAATGACTGCCAAGCACAGGGAAAACAAATAGTTTTCTACAGGCATAAGTAAGGAATAGGTGTTCTAAGTGGAATGAAATTTGAAAAGTGATGTTTCTTTAAATACTTAAATGGCATTAATGTTCCTATGTTTTCTTAGTTGTTTTAAATTATTCTACAGTTGAATATGAATATTGTGTCTTCTAGAGATCATGCTAGTTTTCTCCTTAATCAAATAAGAACAAATGTGGTTTTGTGTTTTGCATATCATGCTATAAGTTTTGGGTTATTCACTGACAACAGAATTCAGTAGGTGGAAATGCTTAACTGAATGTGAAATGAAGTGAGGCTTAAATGCATCCAGTAAACACAAATGAAGATTATTAGACTTACTTCAAAGTTGGGTATCCTAGAATTATTTGAATGATATCAAAACTCCATGTTGTATTTTGCAAATTAAAAACCGTTTTGATTTTTTTGCCAAAATTAGGAGTAAAATTTGCCAAAGTTTAACAAAATCTAAGGTTCATACCTTCAGCAACATCTTTCTCTTGCTTCATGTGTCAATAAAACAGCCTTTTTTAGTTGCTCCAAGTAACTTCTATACTGCTGTATCAGCTTGCCTCTAAGAATAGAAAAAAGTACTGCTAATTAAGTTACAATTATGAAATTGCATTTTTAACACTAAAATAGTTTCCTCTGTTTTTTAAGGTGCTATTTATTTTGTATAGTATAGTTCTGTAACTATGACACATCAGAATATATGAATTTAGATTTTATAATTTTAGGCTCTTGTTGTGTATGGTTCAGCAGAAATATTCAAGAGTCAATTGAAACACAAAATATTCAGGTTAAAATGTAATTTTAAAGCACCAAGTCTGTTTTAATTTTACTAGAGGGTGTAATTAAACTATGCAAAATAGAGCAATGTTTTTTATTTGGATTGCACCTTAGATAGGTGGAGCTTGTTTCACTTGTGATCCTCATTTGGTCTTTACCATCATAACTTTTTTTATCATTGTATAGAGAATTTATTGGAGTCATAAAAATAGCATGTATCCAGGCTGGTTTGCTAGTATACTACTTCCAAATTTTGTATTAGTTTGGAGAATTTTCATATGGAGACAAAGGATATAGAAATCAGTAAGACTTTACTTACTAACACATGTGGACATCACAAGCTCTTTACTTTTGCCATAGAGGAACTAGTTCTGTTTACTCTTTTCAACTGATAACTTCATTTGTTTTGTTGTTATTCACCCTCACTGATCAAATCATTACCTTCTGTAACAAGCAAATTAATTGTATTATTGATGTTATCTATTTCTGATACATCTAGCATAAGTTAAAAGGAACAAACAAACAAAAGTTTCAGGTTAAAAGTCAAATGCATAAAATAAGTCCATTTTATTAACTGTGTCTTAGATAAGTGAAACTTAAAAATCTAATTTATGTTTCACCAGCTATGCTATTTGGTTTATATAGAATTCAGTAAAACAGCCTCAGAGACTTTTTACTTTAAGGCTTTATTTTCTTTATGGTTTAATGTAATTCTGCATTCTACTTCAGGTTTAATAAAGCGCTAATATTTTGTTTGTAACATTTCATTAATTTTAATTTCTGTCAAACGTTCATACAAGAAAGCTGTCCTGCTTAAGCTTATAGCAGGCAATAGCCGTGTTTTTATAGCCAAAATATTAAGAATTGTGCACTATCAAAACTATTTCAACATATATACAGTAATGATTTATGTTAGTATGTATGAAGAAGATTTGTTAGCATTTTTACTCATTTCATTTCCATTGATTTCATTGCTTCTTTGCATTATATCCTTTGCTGGCCTATTAGCATACTTCTCTACCTACTAAAAGGATTTTTTCACTAAAACAGAAAGGCATTCAGATTATAAGACCTTCTATGTAAGATATTAGGGAGATAAATACCTTTCCAAAATTAGAATTTTCATGTGAATATATGTGGATTGGTCAAGAATAAGTTGTGATTGCATTGAACAGGAAGTGATTTACCCTAGCTAGATGTCTATTTGAAATTAATTTGTGTGTTGAAGCCTGTATGAAAGAGTCGTCTCTTTGGTTTATTGGCAGCAATCACTAAAGAAGGGGCACCTATATTTAAGAAACTAACTAGAAAATTGGATTGCCATGTTAATAATGAAATCTGAATCACCTTCCATTTTTTTTTCATATGTAAATGTCTGAGGACTGTTCTTGTGATAAAACAGGATGATCTAATCACCATATTTCATAAGATCACAAGGTTAAAAAATTCATATAGTTTCTAGTAATAAATGTGTTTTTATGCTTGTCAGCCAGTGAGAGGCTCCCATCTATTAGTCTTGTTTTCTAATAAGCTTTATGACTGATCTGCAATTTCAGTTGTCATTCATCAGTTATCACCAAGCATAGGAGGTCTCCACTCATGCTGTTGCAGAAATTTATCCTATTTCAGTGCAAATCTAAATGTGCACAAAAATAAAAGCAAAATTAATACAGATATAATGTATCACCACAAATTACTATTTCTGGTAGTAAGCACAGTGTGCAAAATTTGCTCTTAACTTTAAAGAAGGGATGTTACTTACGCAAAATGTGTCGTAATTAATGGAGGGAGAAGAATGACAAGAAGAAGTAATAATGCCCAGTGTAAATACCACATCCTGATAATATAATTTTAGTGCAAGTATTATAATTATTTTAAGAACAAAAAGTAACAAATGTTTAAGAGGTCCATTAAAGGTGGAGGGATTATCATTTGGAAAATAGTCAGAGATGAGATTTTATTTATTAATCTTTTTCTTGGTAGAGGAACCTTTTCCTCCTCCATTCCCCAACTTTTCTGGTAATTTTTATTTAGCTGGATCTATCTCAGCATTAAACAAACCACTTCTGATCAAAGCAAAGATGCATAGAGTTTTATGCTACAAAGGATTATTAGATCATTTCGTCTGACCTCTTATACTGGCAAGGCATTTACTTATGACTTCTTCAGCTGAGCACAGTGACATCTTTTGTGAAAAAAAGGCATCCATTTCCAGATACAAGAAGGCAGATAATATTTTTTTTCTTCTTTTAAATAAGTCTGAATAATAATCAATCACTACTACTGCTAAAAAACCGTTTATGTGATATGAGGTAACTGGACAGGTGGGAAGTTTAGAGGATTTGTTGATCTTGTGCCTTTATAAACCTCTGCCTCCAAGACTTTTCCTCGTGCTTTGGTTTCTCCTTCAGAGCTGTGGAGTGTCGTGGCTTCTCCCTCTCTCTTCCAGAGGTTTCAGTCTAGCAGTGTGGCCAAAAATAATGTATGTCTTTCTCTGTCCCTTTGAGTATCTTGCTGCTCCACTGTTATGTCTTGAATTGAGACTGTGCCCTTTTCACAAGACAAGGAATGTGGGGAAAAGGGAGAATGACCCTACTAAGGTCAGCCATAGCTACCCTCTCTTCATTCTGGCTTCACCTGCCTATGCTCCTGTTTCTCTTCTGATACAGTCTGGCTTCAGCTTTCAGTTATTGGTTTTTGGTGCGT